AAGACAGGGCACAACGCGCGAACGTGCAAGAATAACGTGTAAGGTATTTCTAAATAATTTAGTGTACTATAGCCTGCAGTAGGACCTAAGTTGCTACTATAGTGTTGTAAGTTGTGTGAAGTTGGGTGTGGTCTTGGCAAAAGTGAGCGGCTCGCTTGGGTGAGCGGCTCGCTTGTGGAGTACGTTATAAGTCTTAACTTATCTTAGGTTAGTCTCTACTTTTAAGACTTATGCTATAAGGGTCTAAAGTTCCTATTCTTTAAGGACTTCTATAGATACTATCTTGTCCTAAAGGTTACTATAGATAGTAGATATATACCTTATCTTAAGGTTCTATTTATTTTTGTCAGATAAGAGCGAGCGGCGAGAGGTCGGATCTGCGCAATCGAGCAGGGACCTGTCGTGCAGCCAATCAGCAGTTGCCAGGTCGATTAAGCGAGACCTGGCAACTCCTGATTGGCCCGCACACCGGCGGCCGCGAACAGCGCTAATTCCCCCCCACTTCAATCCTGTAGCAACCAGCACGACGCCACGGCGGAGACACCATCGCCACGATCATCAATATATCATTATACCACCTAAGATCTCGTTAAGCACATACTCTGGCTCACAGTACGAGCATCTGACAATTTTCTTCTTCTCTAGTATTAAAGGCTAGCTAGATAAACTCTGTGTTAAAGGCTTTAAGGCTTTGTCTATTTTTCTTTACTATAATTATCTATAGCTTCTAACAAGATCTTTCTTTAAACTAGGTGTCTTAGTATTATTTATTAAGGAAGCTCTAGAATTCTATAGTTAATCCTAATAGGTAGTAGGATTTCTAGGATAGACTAACCTAGGTAGCTTGCCCTTCTAATTAGTTAAACATGTACACTATACCTAGGATTAATTAATATTCTCCTATAGAAGTAAGCTTGTCTGTTATCTAGGACTTAAATATCTAATAGAGCTAGTAGTTACTATTAAACTTCCCTATATTAGGAAGCTTGAGCTTTGTAAAGCCTAACTGGGTTGCAGTGGCGGCTGTTGTTGGGGCGGGAGAGATGTTGGCTGTTGCTGATCTCCGCTGTTCCTCGTCCTTGTACGCCTGTATGCCTGCTTGGATGGCCTGCAGAGGCCAGCTCCTTACATTTGGATTTGTTGAGGAGTGGCTGCAGGCGGAGGTCTGCAGACTTTTATGTCCTCCGTGCGGAGGTTACACAATTAGTCAAGATTGGGACCTCCTGACTGGGGGTACCGCTGGGCAGGCACCTCCTCTCGGAGGTTGGCCGAGGCCGGCGAGCGCCGAGGCGCTACCATCGGGCCTAGCCCGTTACAGCTTGTTTAGCTAGGTGATTGGAAGTGGGTTACTGTTATGCAGAGCATCTGCGCTGCTAGGTATGCAACCCCACCTTTTATTATCTACAAAGGACGCGTCTATATCTCTGCCTAGTATAAGGAGACATATATACCCTATAATTAGAAGCTCTTAGTCTCTAAGAATAGTTAGATAAATAATATACTTAGCCTTAAGTAGTTAAAGTACTTTAACACACATATAAAGATATATTTAGTAGGAGTATAAAGTTTACTTATCTTAGATAGCTATAGGAGCTATCTTAACTAGGAGTTTAAGGACTATTACCTAGAGAACTAAATCCTTACTCTCTATACACTACCTTACTTATTACACATCCTCTAGCTACTTAATATAATCTATTTCTTGCTATTAAAGTGTAAGTACTTCTAATATATTTAAGACTAAGCACACTAATATATCTTCTATATTAATAAGGAAGGCTTCCTACTAGCCTTTAGGGATATGTTCCTTAATATATTTACAAAGGTTAACTACTAAAAGGCTATTAAGGTATTAGGGCTTATTCCTACTAATATATAGGTAGTGTAAGATTACCTTAAAGTGTGGCTGTATACCCTACTAGCAGTACCTCTACCTAAAATACTATAGTAATCTAAGACACTAAGTAATACACACAAGTTTAGGTCCTAATCTAAGCTTATAAGTAACTCCTTATAATAATTACTAAGTATAGCATAAGAGAGGTTCTTAAAGCTTATAAAAGGGGCTAAAGAGATGTTGTATAAAAATATCCTTATTAAGGCCTACGTGCAAGAGCTTAAAGAGTAATTAGCAGTAATAACTAAGAGAAAATCGCGTAAGAGAAAGCAGATTTAGTATAGTAGCACACTTGAGTATAGCCTAGCAGCATTACAGGAAGCTGCTAAGGCGTGTGTAGTAGCTTAGCTATCTAAGAAGACTTAGGGTGGAGGTAGTTAACTAGGTGCTTAGTTAATTGTTCAGCACTATAGGAACTGTAGCAAGACTCAACACAAAACACAAACGTGCTAGGAGGGTGCAGAAACATCTTCTAAATCTAATGCAAGCACGCAGTATAATAGGTTACTATTTAATAGCAAGTAGTTGTAGTTGTAGTAACTTGTGTTAGTTGTGCTAAGAGAAAATGGCCAGTTCGGTGATATGGCCGGCTCAGTGATAATCCACGTTACTATGCAGAGCAACTTACAATAACTACTAAGTTAGACCCTGCAGTCACCTCAGTGACAGTTGTCCTTAATTAAGCTTACAACTAGCACAAGTTGCTGTTTATACAAAAGGATACTGCGCAGAAGAACAAGCTCTAGCAGTACATTAACCCTGCCACGAAGGCAGCAGTCTTGCCTACGTTAATAGCACTAATTGAACCTCAATTAACAAATCATAACAATAATGCTACGTTACTTGCTTATCTTACTGCCGCGCAGCAGAAGCTGTACTAATAGGACTACAAGCAATAGGAGCGCAAGGATATTAAGTTTAGGCGTTAGAATAAGGCTCTTGCTAAGTTTAACTCTAAGATTAGCAAGATAATTACTACAAAGCACCTTTACTTAATTAAGAGTAAGGACATGCTATATAAGTAGTTAACAACGCTTAAGAAGTATCTTACACTATCTAACGCATCACAACAACATAATCTAATTGCACAATACAAATCTCTCTAGACGCTACTACGCGGCAGGAAGATTAAGGAGTGGCTTTGCTCCTAGGTAGAGGTCACTAAGATGTGTATCTCTGCAGAGATTCCTAAGACAACAGGATTAAGAGCATAGGAGGACTTCTTTGTTGCATGCAGAACAATTAATCTAGAATACAGCACATCAGGCCTGCTAGCTCTAATTAATCTTAAAGACGCTAGCACAGCTATTCCATCTGTGGAGGACTTCGTCAGCAAATTTACCACTTACCTTAAGCGTGTGTGACCGCTGTTAACAGGACTCAGCTCTATGGCAGCAGAGCTTGATAGTGCAAAGCCTCAGCAGCAGAACAAGGATAGTTACAGGATTAAGCTGCAACACAAGCTGTAATGTCTATGTAATCTTTAGCACTACTAGGTTGACTGCTAGTTAATTAACACAGAGCATCTACAAAGACCTAAGGCCTTTGCTAACGCAATTAGCTAAAAGAAGCTTAATGCCGCTGTGGCTGCTGACAACAACTTGAGAGACAAGCTCAACAAGGCGCTCAATAAGTGGCGTGCAAAATAGCAAGAGAATAGAGGGAGTATTGCTATAGACAATGGCAACTGTCCTACTAGACATAACCTAAACTATCACCGAGTGTCCCACATCACCGAGTGTCCCAAAATCTCTTGGCAGCCTCAACCTATGCTACAACTCCTTAATTTCATCACTATTAAACAGGGAGCCTGCGTACGTTGTACTAGCATCTAATTCTGAGGACACCTCTAACGTACTCCACGGGCGAGTCGCCCACACAGGCGAGTCGCCCACTTTTGCCAAGCCCCCACCAAACCTCACCCTATTATTGCCCAAAACACCACAAACAGGCGCTGTACAAGGCAAGACAAGCTGTAATATTACTTAGAGACTACTTCTACATCATTCTTGCACGTTCGCGCGTTATGTCCAGTCTCACTGCACTGTCCACAGCGCCTTTAGGTCAGCTCAGCCCTATCAGCGCGCACCTGCTTCTTTACCTTCTTACCATCACTACGCGCCCCAAACTCTGTTAGAGCTGTTAATCGCTGCCCCTCCTTAACTATTAGGGTCCCTTCTGCCTTAACTTGCTTTCTTTTGTGTGATTTTCGTTGTGTGGCTGCCTTATTTGCTGCTTAAAGCTCAGCAATCTCCTGTTGCGCCAACACTAGTCTGTGCGCAATTATTGCTGCCCCCTTTAACACCTTCTCAAACGCTTCAACTATAGAGGTAGGTGAGCTATCTATATGCCTCTGAATCCTTGTCTTCACAAGCGTTAATTGCAACCCAAGTTCAAGGGTGTTGCTTAGGGTTTGCAACTGCCAGAGCACGTTGTTAACAGGTAGTGGTGGTGATGGAGTGCGCAGCTTCACATCAAGGCTGCTTATGACCTGTTCTGGGTCAAACAGGACTAGTCTAGCGCCTCAGAACCCTCCCTGGATGTTGCTAGGAGTAATCGCAGCGTTGTAGGCGCGTATAAAGCATGGCAGGAACTCAGTCTTTGTAATATGGTTGATCTGGTTGCGCATGAGTATTTTGGCTTGGCGCCCATACGCCTTCTTTAAAGCGGCAAAACAACCCACATCAAGGGGCTGTGTGAGGTGCGATGAGTGAGCAGGCAAACAGAGCGCAATAATCTTACTATCCTTGCAGTATTGCTGGAATTTAAGAGAGTTGTGGCTCTCATGACCATCAATAATGAGCAAACAGTGGGTGCCAATAGTACGCTCCTTTGTATGCCTGTCAAAGTGCTTTATCTAGTCTAGACCAAGCTTGTTAGTAGTCCAGCCGTTATCAGAGACTCCAATAACCCAGTCTTGAGGCAGATCCTCTTCTTTGTACCAGGCAGAGAGGTGGTGGTAGGCCTTGAAGATAAGGAAGGCTGGGATGGCCCATCCTTTAGCATTGATGCTCACTATAGCTGTAGCCCACTCCTGGTTGCCTGGTTGGACAGCCTTTGGCCGACCTCGTCGTTCTGAAGCTGTAACAACTGCTCCTGGGGAGATCTGGCCCATCATAAAGCCTGTCTCATCGAAGTTGTACATGTCTTCATCCTGGATGCCATACTTGGCTTTGACGTTGGCTACCAGGCCAAACCAGCCCTGCAGAACCTCAGGATCCTCACAGAGAGCTCTCTTGTAGTCGTACTTGCGATTGAACTTGACTTTGAGCTCTGGGTGTCGCTTAACAAACATACTAGGCCAGTTTGTGCCAATAGGGCCCAGATTGCGCTCAGCGCGCAAAGAATTGGCCATAGTAGCCACATCTAAGAGCCGAGGGGAAAATCCTCGCGAGTCTAGCTCAAGGACATGTTCAATAATCACCTTCTCCTTGTTGTTGTCCAGCTTCTGCAAGTTGGCCATAGAATCAGCGCGTGAAGGTCGTCCTGTGTATCGGTTGCTTAGTGTCTTTTGAGGAACCCCGTAGATAGCTGCAGCGCGTCGCTGAGAGAGAGTCGCGTCTTGTTTAAGAGCCTGGAGCGCAAGCTGTATCTGAGCTTCCTTTAACGCGTCTAAATGGTGGTGTTGAGGAGGCATTAGTGTAGGAAGGGTGGTTTGGTGGGGGCTTGGCAAAAGTGGGCGACTCGCCTGTGTGGGCGACTCGCCCGTGGAGTACGTTATATCCTTTTTGCACGTTCGCGCATTGTGCCCAGTCCTACCGCAGTTCCCATAGCGCTGAAGAGCTGGTTGGGCTAGTTCTTGACCACTACCACCACGAGCCTTCTTGGATCGCTGAGGCGCTATAGATGCCTTAGCAGCTACCTGCGCTGCAGCAGTCCCATACTCCATAGTACCACCCTGCTGAATCCGCTTGCGCTTACGCGATTTTCGCTTGGTCATCTCTGCTAATTGCTCTTCAAGCTCATGGATCCGAGCACATTAAAGCGCATTTTCATGCAGCATCAGCTCACCACCTTTTATAAGCTGGGAGAAACCAGCCTAAGCTGTAACAGGCAAGCAAGTAAAGGAATCGCGTACAAGCTTTAATTAAGATCTAAACTTATAGGTATTGCTTAGAGTCTTTGACTGCTATAGTGTCTCTAGGAGGAGGGGTTCTGGCAGGGTACGTAGCTACACTTTAAGGCGATCTAATATAACCTGCGCGTTAATTAGGACTAGCCCTGCTACCTTAAAAGCCTTTTAACAGTTCTGCTCTGTAAACATATTAAAAAATGTGTCCTTAAAGGCAGGGAGGAAGCCTTCTTTGTTAATATGGAAGACGCGTTGGCGTGCCAAGTCTCTAACGCGCTGGGAGTACCTGCGCTTCAGCAGCAAGAAGCAGACCACATCAAGCAGCTAGAGGATGTGCGATAAATAGGGGGGCATACAGAGGGTTAGGATCTTGTGTTTAAGGCAGTAGTCCTTAAAATGCTGGTTAAGGTGGCTCTTATAGCCGTCTAAAATAAGCAGCTAGTACCCCCCTACCTAGCGCGTCTTTGTATGCGCGTTAAAGTGCTTCAACCACTCTAGACCAAGCGTGTTGTTTGTCTAGCTATTCTTAGAGACTAAGAGCTTCTAATTACGCAGTATTAAAGCCTCCTTGTACTAGGCAGAGATGTAGACGCGTCCCTTGTAGATGATAAAGGGTGGGGTCGTGTACCTAGCAGCGCAGATGCTCTGGATAACTGTAACCCACTCGCGATCGCCTGGCTGAACAAGCACAGGTCAGGCACGTCTCTCTGCACCTGTGACGACCTTTATAGAGCTAATCACGCCTATCTAGAAGCTAGTCTTATCAAAGTTGTGCATGTTATTATTATGGACGTTATACTTAGCTTTAGTCTCCTCCACTAGCTTAAACCACGCGCCAATTATCTCTAGATCCTCCTAGAGTATTCTCTGCCTATCCTTTGCTTAATTAAAGGCCATTTTGAGCTCAGGCGAGCGCGTTACAAAGCGATCAGCCCAGCACTTGCCAATAGGCTTGCCACCGCGTACAGCCAGCAGTTTATCAGCCATATCTGCCACCTCGCACAGCCAGGGCGCAAATCCTCGCAAGTCGAGGTTGAGTATGTATTGGATGATCGTCTGCTATTCAGTTGCAGTGAGCTTCTGGCAGTTAGGGGCAGCTTCTGCGCGAAATGTGAGTCCTTAGACGCGACAAGAGAGTGTATGGCGATCAACGTTAAATGCCTCTGCAGCAGCCTGGTGGCTTTGGAATTGTCTGGATTTCAAGGCTTCAATAGCAAGCTGAAGCCTCCCTTCATGTTCAAGTAATAACGCGTTTGGTAGTTGAGGCATGTTAGAGAGAGAGAGTAGGTAGAGGGCTTGGCAAGTTTTGGGACACTCGGTGATGTGGGACACTCGGTGATAGTTTAGGTTACAGCTAACACTATACAATATATAAATTACAAGCAAGAGCTACATGCTTAGAATAATAAGCAAGTTAACACAAAAGCTTGCAACAATATAAAAAGAAAGACAACCTCTATATAATAGTAAGCAAAGAAAAGGATATTAGCAAGCTTAGTGACTAATAGATTCTTAACCCTAGCTCTAACACTCATGTAATTAACACTAAGAACTAGAAGGGATAGACAAGAGAGTATAACGCAGCTACTACTAACTTTGTTAGAGCTAGAACAGGGCCTGTTTAGATAACAGCCTAGGTAAGCATAGAGCTTATAGCAAATACACTAACAGGTGTACAACTACTAAAGCTTACTTACGTTGCTTACGTCTAAGGCTTTGTTACAAGCCTAATTAGCTTAGCATGCTGCAGGAAGCTTAATATATACTTTAATTTAGGACGTAATCTCCTATACAAGGGCAATCTAGGATTAGTTCTTGCCTACTTAGAGCAAAATAGAGGGCACTAGCTAGTAGATGCTAATGCCTTACGTTGTCTAAGCTAGACTTTGTTATTATCTTTTAGCACAACCTACTAACCTTTAAAGGCTCTACGCCTTAATTAAATAGTTAATACTAGGACAGCCTATTAGATGTAGGGTTCTCCTAGCAAGAAGGCAATTAAAAAGCTTACCTTAATTATTAATAGACTAATTATAGAAGGTAATATTAATAAATTCTATACTATCTATATAGAGTTAAAGTTAATAAAGTAGATATTTTAAAGATAATAGGAAGATTAAGCTTAGAGACCCTTCTATTAAATCTCTATTAATATTATCTAATTAATACCTTAAGGAGAAGCCTACTTAAATAGTAATTAATATACTAGAGACTTTATTAATTAATACTTAAAATAGTATAAAGTGTTAACTTTCCTATAGTAATTAAAACTATTCCTAAGTTATTAGTTAGTTTAAGACATACGCAGTATATAGCAAGTGTTTAACTATAATATAATAGTAGTTAAGATAGACAATAACTATAGATATAGCACATTACTAAACTTCCTAGAGGAACTCTGCAAAGACCTTGGTATTTAAAATAAGCTACAAGCAGAGTACACAGAAGAACAGAACAGACTAGCAGAGCGAGCAGGATCGCTGCTTGTCATCCAAGCTAGAGCCATAAGGATTTAGGCAGGACTGCTAAAGTCACTGTCTCGTAAGCTAATTTAAACAGCAGTATATGTGCTAAATTGTACGCTAATAGAAGCACTATAATAGATAACACTATAGAAAATAGTTTAGAAAACAAAGCTAAAGGTTTAATACATACAACTAATAGGCTGTTAGGTGTATATTCTTAATTATTTACTTAAACGCGCAGATAAGCTTAAATTAAGAGCACTTATAGGCTGCCTTGTTAGCTATAACTTAACTAATATCTTTAGGATCTAGCTTCCTACTAAGGACTAGGTTATACACAAACAGGATATTGTCTTTAAACCTACAAAGTTCTAAAAAGGACTATAAGGATACACTTATAAATTAGTAATTTTAGAAGTTATTAAGCTTCTAGCATTTCCTAAGGAGCTAAAGCCTAATAATATAGTAATAGAAGATCTTTTAACAACTTAATAACGCTATTAATAGCAGCCTGCTTACACATCTGCGCTTACAGAGTCTTAGATAGGGGGTAAAGTAATAGAATAGAATAAGGAGCAGAACAAGAGAGGATTACTAACTCTAGAAACTTTAATCTATAATAAACAAGATAGATAAACTAATTCTCTATCCTTAGAATTAGAATAAGAGTAATCTACTCTTAATAAGTAACTAGCTTATAAACAACTATATATATTATAAACTTATAATCTTTCTATAACCTAGCTTAAAGGCTATATAGCTAACTAATATAAGAATAACGCTCTAAGATATTAAAACCCTAATCTTAGCACAGACAATGTTATTAAAGGCCTATAGTGTACATAACAAAATGCTGATCTCTAGGCGCTAGAGAGATAGCACTCTCACGCTGTCTTATACAGAGTATTAGTTAGTAACTATCTTAAGGCTTTCTTAACTGCCATAAAGGGTAAGCTAATAACAAAGATACACTACACATAGGTGTTAAGACCTCTATAGTTATATCTAGAGCTTAACTCTTATTAATTTAGAGAGTAATTTTAACAAGCTGCTTAGAAAGAGTATTATAACATCTAGGGCAAAGGCTGCTTTGCTAAGATAACACAGACAGCAGAGACTACTAATGCAGAGGTGTTACCCCTAATATAGGTATTCACGTACAAGTTTAATAAGTACAGTTACCTCTATTAATTTAAGGCATGACTTGTTGTCTGTAGTAATCTACAGCAGCTATATAGAGACACCTATGCTGCTACACTAGCTGCTTAAATGTTTTAAGCACTTATCATAATAGCTAATTAATTTAGATTAGAGCTACTTTATTATAATGTACTAAACGCGTTTCTTAATGCTACAATTAATTAAAAGCTCTACGCTTAGACACTAGACAATTTTAAGAAGGAAAGAGAGCTGCTGCAGGTGCTAAGAGCTCTGTTTAGATTAAGGAATTACTACTTCTATAGTATAAGGATCTAAGAGAAACACTAAAGTCTCTAGGTCTAACACCTATACCTAGATTTCTATGCGTCTATACAAACAGCTAGTTAATTATATTTGTTTATATTAATAAAATTTTTATAGCTTTCTACATATCTAATAAATATCTATACTAAGAGTTTAGGAGGAAGCTTAATAAGTACTATAGCCTAAAATGCCTTAGAGAACTTAAGTAGTTCTTAGGCATACATGTTGTTTATAATCTTAGTAAATGTATAATTTACTTAGTTTAGGACACTTATATTAATAAGGTTACTGCTAAGTATAATATTATCTCTACTAGCTACCCTTTAGAGGTGCCTATGCTAGTAAATTACCTAGAATAATCTCTTAAGGAACTAAACAAAGCTTAGAAGAACACCTATTAAGAGCTTATAGGCTACCTTGCCTACCTCACGCAGTATACCCAACCTGATCTAGCTCACGCTCACGTTATCCACGCTTCACATTTAACCAACCCTGGCCAAGCACACGTCAAATCTATTCGAAGGGTGTGGCGTCACATTCTGGAGACAAAGTATCGAGCCCTGCAGGCTCAAGCCACTGACGAGGCAGAGATACAAGAGCACCTCACTTCGCCACAGGACTATCGCGATCCTATCTTCTTTGGAGCATCTGATGCCTCCTTTGCTAACAACATTAAGACGCGCTAAAGCTCTTAAGGATATGTATTTTAGCTGTTTAGCATAACTATTAAGTAGAAGTTAACACTTTAACACACTGTTACAAAATTCTTAATAGAAGTAGAGCTGCTTGCTCTCTTACTTGCTAGATTAGAGATAGAGGAGTAGTGCTACTTATTTAAAGGACTATCTTTAAAGCTTAACTAGACGCCTATTATTTAGTGCAACAACTAATAGACTATAGGCATAGTTATAAAGGAGCAGGACAAGCTTAGTACTAAGCTCAAACACGTTAATACTTATTAGAACTAGATATGCTAGGAGGTTAAGCAGAATTAACTCTACATCTAATAGAGGCCTATAAGCTAGGTGCCTGCTAACAGCATAACAAAGATTCTTTATTGTTAGAAGCACATTAAATTTATACAGTAACTACAGCTTATAGACGTTTGCTTAAAGGTTTGTAAGATAGAGAATAATAGCTAAGGGGTTCATCCTTCTATCGCAAATTAACTACAGGATGAGGGGGTGTGTAACAGTTAAGAGGAGAAGCAGATCACGTGTTGTTGGCCACGTGTTGTTGGCGGTGGTCTGGTGTTACTTTCTCATGTTGTTGAGCACCTCTTACCTTGGCTGCGTCACAAAGACGTCATCAAAACAAACCCCGCAGCGAGCCTTGGAGAACAAAGATACAACCAACAACAACAACACAGAACACAATATACTCGTTATATACATTTGCTCTTCAAACCGCAACAAAAGGCCTTCTTATTAATTTAGCTAATATAGTCTATTACTAAGACTATAATCTCTTTACTACACTCCTGCTTTAAGGGGGCAAAACAGCCCACACTAAGTAGCTGCAGGATGTGTAATAAGTGTAGAGGCATATACAGAGTAATTATCTTGTTCTACTTGCAAAGATCCCAGAAGGCAAGCAACTTATAGCTTTTGTGGCTGTTAATTATTAGCAGCATATAGCTACCGACCCTCTAGTCCTTAATCTACTTAATAAAGTGCCTTAACTAGCCTACACTAATATTATTTATAGTTTAGCTGTTGTTGCTAAACCTTATGCGCTATTAAGACCTTAAACTAAGGTACTACATCAGGAAAAGTTTTTCCATTGTTGAAATCAGGAAATTGTGGTATTATACTGTAGGCAACAGTAGGACTTCTAGGCCTATAATAGTTATTTAATGTGCATTTAATGTCTAGGTAATTTTAAGCTAACAGCTCTAACAGTCCTAACAGCTATAATAGCTATAATAACTCCTAATCCTACTATAATAGTAGCTCTGCTTAATAAACTATACTTTTATTATATTAATATACTACAAAGTCTCCTCTTTAAAATAAGCTATTAAATAATATTATAGACCTATTAATAGAATAGTTCTTAAGTGTAGAAGGTTTTTAGCTTAATGTTCCTTACTAAGACACTAAGTTAAGATTCTTTACTAGGGCTCTAGCAGCCTAAATATTAGAAAATATAAGAATATTATTTAAGAATAGTAGGTAAACTAAGAATTCTACACCTAGGCCTGCCTGTTCCGCAGTGTGTGCTTATTAGCAGGTGCTTTGTTGTGTGCTGTTGCAGCTGCTACGTCGTGTGCTGTTGCAGCTGCAGCTGATACGTTGTGTGCTGGCGCAGCTGCAGCTGCTATGGTGTGCTGTCGCAACTTCAAAACACAAACCTTTAACAAACAAACCTTCAACGCTCTATAACTTACGTTGTAGTAGGCCTACAACAATAATTTTTCACTTATTTTAAAGCTACAATTTCGCTCTATCTGTACATGAAATTTCGCAATTTTAAATATTTAATGTGCTAGCAGAACTAAGGGTAACGTACTCTATCACCAAACTAGTCAAAATCTGCCAAGACTAACACAACTCCGCACTTTATAGTATGTCTTAACAACATCACAACCTATTGCTTCAACACAAAGGGAGACTGCAGCTTGCTCTCTAGGCCTACAATACTAGACAGTTTCAGAGCTATTAGGCTGCTGCTGCTGCATTCAACGTTAACCAACGCAGGCTCTCTAAACGCGCTAGCAATACTCTATTTTGACTCAGCGTACGCGCAAACTGCTAGAAGCTTACTCTAACTAAAGAGCAGACAATTGTCTTATATATCCTTAACCTTAATTTGCAAGGATTTGCGCCTTAGCTGTGTAAGGTGGTAGATATAGCTAATAAACTGTTAGGTGTGTGTGGTAGGGAGCCTGTTAGTAAACTCTAGGCTATAAGATTTGTAACATGTTTAGATTAGCTTAAGATAGTGTTTAACTAAGCAAAGGATAGATAGAGGATACTACAGGAAGATCCTAAGGTAATTAACACGTAGTTTATGCTAGTAGAGGGTACTAAGGCTAAGTATAGCATCTATAATAATAACATGCACAACTTTAATAAGACTAGGTTCTAGATAGGCGTGATAGGGTTAATAAAGGTTGTTACAGGCGCTAAGAGACGCGCTTAACCTGAGCTTGTTTAGCTAGGCAATTAGGAGTAGGTTACAGTTATATAGAGCATCTGCGCTGCTAGATATGCGACCCTGCCTTTCATCATCTACAAAGGACGCATCTATATCTCTGCCTAGTACAAGGAGACAGATATACCACACAATTAGAAGCTCTCTGTCTCTAAGAACAGCTAGACAAACAACGCGCTTAGCCTTAAGTAGTTAAAGCATTTTAACGCGCATACAAGAGCGCGTTAGGTAGGGGGATACAGGCTACTTATCTTAGACAGCTATAAGAGCCACCTTAACTAGGATTTTAAGGACTATTGCCTAGATAACAAGATCCTTACTCTCTGTATGCTAGCTCACTCGTCACACATCCTCTAGCTACTTGATGTGGTCTGTTTCTTGCTGTTAAAGCGTAAGTACTCCTAACACATCTAGGACTTAGCATGCTAACGCGTCTTCTATATTAACAAGGAAGGCTTCCTTCTAGCCTTTAGAGACGTGTTTCTTAATATATTTACAAAGGCTAACTGTTAGAAGGCCTTTAAGGCATTAGGGCTAGTCCCTACTAACGCGCAGGTAGTGTTAGATCGCCTTAAGGTGCAACACTGTACCCTACTAGCACCCCCTCTACTAGAGACACTATAGCAGTTAAGGACTCTAAGCAATACACACAAGTTTAGGTCTTAGTTAAAGCTTGTACATAACTCCTTTACCTAGTTACTAGTTACAGCCTAGGCTAGCTTCTCTTAGCTTATTAAAGGTAGTAAATTAATACTGCACTAAAACGCGCTGTAAGCTGCTTGCATTACTAAGCTTAAAGAGTAATTAGCAGTTATGACTAGGAGAAAGTTGCGTAAGTAAAAGCAAATTCAGCATAGCAGCACACTTAAGTATAGCCTAGCAGCATCACAGGTAGCTGCTAAGGTGTCTGTAGTAGCTTAGCTATTAAAGAAGACTTGTGGTGCAGGTACTTAAGAAAGGACCTAGTTAGCCTAACAGCACTGTAGAAACTGTGGAGGCACAGGGCACAACGCTTAAACGTGTTAGAAAGATATAGAAGAAGATTCTAAATCTAATAAAAGCACGCAGTACGCTAGATTACTGTTTAATAGCAAGTAATTTAAGTTACTATAACATAAGTTGGGCGCGCTAAGAGATTTTGACTAGTTTAGTGATATGACTGGCTCAGTGATAGAGTACGTTAGCTATGCAACAATGTTGCAATGTTTTTTTAAGTTTATTAAATATAGGCACTTAGCATTTTAGCTGTTAGCAACGTTGGCGCGAAATTAGGGCTGTAAGGCGCAAATTAGGGCCGTTGGGGCCGTTGAACGGCCGTTGCACGACCATGCCACGACTGTCAGCAACGGCCAGTCTGGGCCAGATTTCGAAAAACTTTTCCCGATGTAGGACGCGTTGTAGTTCTTTGCTTTAAAGATAAGGTAGGGTGCAATTGCCTAGCCTATTATATTAATTGTAGTAATAAAAGTTACCTACTTATAGTCTCCCTATTGTAACCTAATAGGCTTAGTGTGTCTCTCTAATGCAGTAACTACTTTAACATAGTTTCTAATGCCTATAGTAAAGCTAGTCTTATTAAAGTTACAGGTATCTTTACCTAGGATGCTGTACTTAGCCTTAATATTCTAAACTAGGTTAAACTAGGGCCTAATAACCCCTAGGTCACTGCATAGGACTCTCTAGCAATCCCTCTGTTAAGTTATACGTGATTTAAGCCTAGGCTTGCGTTTAACAAAGTTTAAAGCCTAATAGATACTAACAGGCTTTGCACTATGTGCAGTGTGTAGTTAATTAGCTATAACGTGGTTCACAAGCGAGTCGCCCACCCAAGTGAGTCGTCCACCAAACACCCGCGCCGCGCCTACGCAGCAGTGCAGCGCAGCACTACAATAAATTACAATACTACACATAACATTATAATATTATTTAGAAGCGTCGCTATCATCTACGTCCTCAATTTCTACCTTACAGGTGCGGGAGTTGTGCCTAATTTCGCTGCAACGGCCGCAGCGCCTCTCTGCGCGCACCCTCTTCGCAGGCGTCTTGCCCTCCTCACAACTACCACCCTCCTTTTTAGCAACTAGGTTAGATACCTCACCAACTGTCAGAGTCTCCTCTATGCGTACATACCGCCTTTTACAGGTCTTGCGCTTTGTAAGCGTAGTAACAGCGTCTTGTAGGCGGCCTATTTCCTCCTGCACTAACACTATATTATAAGCTATCTGTTAAGCGCCTTTACTTAACTGCTTAACCTGCTCATCTAATAAACTTGCTAGTGACCCACAATAATTTTGCATGCGATTTCGGATCAGCGTTAACTGCGCCTCTATCTCGCGGGCGTTGCGTGGTGTTTGCGCCTCCCAGGCCACAGTGCCTGGTGCAGGTGGCGTTGGCGTACGTAGCTGTACATCAAGCTTCGATAACACAACCTCAGGGTCATGCGGGGCTAGCCCAGCGCCTCAAAACCCTGCGCGAACATTCTCTAGTGTAAACGTCCTCTTAAAAGCTACTTTAAAGGCTGGTAGGAAGGTTTCTTTGTTAATATGGTAGATGCGGCTGCGTGCCAAGAGCGAGATCCTGTCGCCGTAGTGGCGCTTCAACAGCGAGTATGGGACAACGTCAAGAGGCTGCAGGAGGTGCGATGAGTGTGGTGGCATGCAGAGAGTGATAATCTTGTTCTCCTTGCAGTAGTCCTGGAATTCTATTGAGCAGTGGCTCTCATGGCCGTCAATAATAAGCAGCCTATATGCCCCAGCAGAGGTCACCTTCGTATGGGCGTCAAAGTGCTTAAGCCATGCCATCGCGACGTCGTTATTAGTCCAGCCAGTAGGAGAGACCATGACAACCCAGTTGCAAGGTAGACTAGTAAACTAGGAGGAGATTAGGACCTTGCCTGTAAAGATAAGGAAGGGTAGGATAATACGCCCTGTTGCAGCAACGCCTTGTACTAGGGTAACCCACTCGCGATTGCCAGGCTGTAGTTTCTTCTGTTTCCTAGGTTTCTCTAAGCCTGTAACAACAAGCTAAGAGGATATCTTGCCTATCATGAAGCCAGACTTATTAAAGTTCTAGGTGTCCTTATCTGTGATACCATACTTTGTCTTCATCAATTAAACCAGGCTGAACTAGGGCTAGATAAGCGCTGGGTCTTCGTAGGCAGCTCGCTGGCAATCGTACGGACGGCTCTATCGCGTGCGCAGCTCTGGTGTACGCTTGATGAAGTTATTAACCTAGTTCTTGCCTGTAGGCTTCCCACCACGCTCCCTTAGCAGTCTATCAGCCATATCTTGTACATGCGCCTTTGAGGGCGGTATTCCACGTAGACTCTCTTCAAGTATACGCTGTATAATCGCCTCCTCTTCCAGCTTTGTAAGGCGCTTTGATTTCAGCTCGCAGTCGCGTTGAGGGTGTTGTCTAGCGCGTTGGTCTCAGATTGTTGTTCGTGGGATGTTATAGACTGCTGCAGCGCGTCTTTTGCTCTGTATCTGCTTAGACTCAATATCAGAGATAGCAATAAATATATCTCCTTCAGTTTAGGTCTTTTGCATGTTGCGTTGTTGTGGCATTACGCGTTGTTGCTGCGCAGGCGGGGCGCGGGTGTTTAGTGGGCGACTCACTTGGGTGGGCGACTCGCTTGTGAACCACGTTATCTTTAATACAATAGAGCGTTAGGGCAAATCCTTTAGTGTTAAGCCTCCTAATATACTGCACAAGCGCCTTCTCTTCTGTCTTCTAAAGATTTAATAATTTAGGTTAGGTATTGTGCGTTAACTACTTCCTAACACATTAGTAGCAGAGAGTTACCTTAGAGACTATGTAGACTGTAGAAGTGCTTTGCACGCTTAGCTCGTAAGGTTTCTTAATTACTTAAAGCACAAGCTTAATTCTATTATCTTTTAAGAGTAATTTAAGGTTAGGTAGTTAGTCTATTAAGGTTTAAAGGCAGGAGGGCCTAATAATTTGTTAGGGTATATTACTTATATGTGTTACTTACTTGTACCTTATATTAGAAGATATTAACTGCTTATTCTAGACAGTAATAAAAGCTATAACTTAGTTACCCTACTAGTACTATAAGGGACACAAGATTATTACCTTATGTATACCTCCTTACTTATTGCACCTGTTGCAGCCACTTAATGTAGGTTGTTTTGCTCTAATAGAGAAGGCATATAGTAGGCTGGCAGATAAGTAAGGAAGGCTTTTTATTGTTTTTTCTTCTAGCTCCTTAACTATTAGAGATACGCTTACGTAATGTCTTACTTAATAGAAGCGCCCAGTAATGCGCTTTCAAGTAAAAACAAATCCCTTAATTTGGCCTAGTATTGATTAAGTTATCAAGCCTACCTAGCAAAGTATACTCACAGAGGGGTATGCTCGCTAGGTACCCCCCCTTTTTTTGCCTTCTCTGTCCTCTAGCTTGTGCAGTGCAATAGCTATAACAAAACTTTCTATTATGGAAACGTAAAATAAGTTGCTTTCTTTCTGCACAGCCCCCTTGTGCAAGGATTGGTGTAATATTAACAGAGTTATAGGGGGTACACTTGAAGGACGTCAGAGCATACCCATCCGCCAGCCCAGCATATAGTCTCCAAGCTAAGCTGCTTATGCGCAACGAGTAGACTGGTGGATGGGTAAGGTAGGGTTGGGTAGGGTATAATCATGTGATTTGTAGGTATAGGTAGGGTAGGGTACCTAAGCATACCCTACCTATCTAGTTTAGGTAGGGTAACACGTAATAGAGGTAAGGTAGGGTATAGGTAACATGTAACTTAGGTAAGGTAAGGTAGGGTAATATGTGCGCAATACAGATGTAATAACGTACCCCACGGGCGAGCCGCTCACCGAGCGAGCCGCTCACTTTTGCCAAGCCCCTACTAAACTACTCTTTGCATACCAATGCCTCCTCAACACTACTATTCAGACGCGTTAAAGGAAGCTTAGATACAGCTTGCGCTCTAGGCTCTTAAACAAGACGCGACTCTCTCCTAGCGACGCGCTGCAGCTATCTACAGGGTCCCTTAAAAGACACTAAGCAACTAACACGCAGGACAACCTTCACGCGCTAATTCTATAGTGAACTTATAGAAGCTAGATAACAACAAGGAGAAGGTAATTGTTAAATGTGTTCTTAAGCTAGATGCGCAAGGATTTTCCCCTTAGCTCTTAGATATAGCTACTATAGCCAATTCTTTGCACGCTAAGCGCAATCTGGGCCCTATTAGCACAAACTAGCCTAGTACGTTTGTTAAGCAACACCTAGAGCTTAAAGTTAAGTTTAATCGCAAGTACAACTACAAGAGAGCCCTCTGTAAGGATCCTAAGGTCCTGCAGGGCTAGTTTAGCGTAGTAGCTAACATTAAAGCTAAGTATAGCATCTAGGATAAAGACATGTACAACTTTAACAAGACAGGCTTTATAATAGGCTAGATCTCCCTAGGAGTAGTTGTTACAGCTTTAGAATAACAAGGTTGGCCAAAGGCAGTCTAGCTAGGCAACTAGGAGTAGGCTACAGTTATAGTAAGCATTAATGCTAAAGGATAGGCTATTCTAGCCTTCCTTATCTTTAAGGCCTACTACTACCTCTCTGCCTAGTATAAAGAAGAGGAACTGTCTTAAGACTAGGTTATTAGGGTCTCTAATAATAGCTAGACTACTAACAAGCTTAGTCTAGACTAGGCTGGCGTAGGCTGGCGGATGGGTAGGGTATGCTTTTTTACGTTTTGGCTTATAGCTTCTTAACTAGCAGAGATACGCTTACATAATCTATTATTCAATAGAAGCGCCTAGTATTGCGCCTTCTAATAAAAAAAGAATTAGCTTATTCTGCCTAGTATTAGCTAAGTTATTAATACTACCTAGCAAAGTATACCTATTAATAGGTATGCTCGCTAGGTACCCCCCCTTTTTTAACCTTTTCTAGCCTCTAGCTTGTGCAGTTTAATAGTTATAACAAAACCTTCTACTACAGAAATGTAGAGGTAGTTTTTCTCTTTCTTTTAAGCCCTATTTTGCTAGAATCCATGTATTATTGACAAAGTTTTGGGGGGTACCCACGAAGGACGTTGGAGTATACCTATTCCGCCAGCCTAGTCTAGACTAGATAAAGCACTTTAACAGGCATACAAAGCAGCGTACTATTAGCAGATACTATTTGCTTATTATTAATAGTTATAAGAGCTACAACTCTCTTAAATTCTAGCAATACTGCAAGGATAATAAGATAATTACTCTCTATTTGCCTCCTTACTTACTACACCTTACGCAGCCCCTTAATATAGGTTATTTTGCTACTTTAAAGAAGGCTTATAGGCGCTAAGCTAAAATACTTATGTGCAATTAGATTAACCACATTACAAAGACTAAGTTCCTGCCATGCTTTATACGCGCCTATAACGCTGCAATTACCCCTAGCAATATCTAGGGAGGGTTCTAAGGCGCTAGACTAATCCTGTTTAACCTAGAACAGGTTATAAGCAGTCTTAATGTGAAGCTGCGCACTCTATTACTACTACTACCTATTATTAATAAGCTCTAGCAGTTGTAAACCCTAAGTAACACCCTTAAACTTAGGTTGTAGTTAACGCTCGTGAAGACAAGGATTCAGGGGCATATAGATAGCTTACCTACCTCTATAGTTAAAGCGTTTAAGAAGGTGTTAAAGGGGGCAGCAATAATTGCGCACAAGCTAGTGTTAGCACAGCAGGAGATTGCTAAGCTTTAAGCAGCAAATAAGGCAGCTACACAATAAAAGTTACACAAAAGAAAGTAAGTTAAGGCAGAAGGGATCCTAATAATTAAGGAGGGCTAGTAATTAATAGCTCTAATAGAGTTTAGGGCGTGTGGTGATGGTAAGAAGGCAAAGAAGCAAGTGCGCGCTAATGTGGCTAAGCCAACCTAAAGGCGCTGTGGACAGTGCAATAAGACTAGACATAACGCGCGAACGTGTAAGAATAATGTAGAAGTAGTCTCTAAGTAATATTACAGCTTGTTTTGCCTTGTGCAGCTCTAGTTTGTGAAGTTTTGGGCCATAATAGGGTGAGCCCGGTGAGGTTTGGTGGGGACTTGGCAAAAGTGAGCGGCTCGCTCGGTGAGCGGCTCGCCCGTGGGATACGTTAACATGCTATAATAATTAGTTAAAAACTATGCAATAGAGTAAACTCCACGCAGGGTACCTAGGTAATTAGCTACCCTACCTATACCTATAGTCTAAGTAACTATACCCCACCTTACCTATAGCCTTTCCAACCCTACCCTACCTATACCTATAGCCTAAGTAACCCTACCCTACCTATACCCTGGTCCGTGCGACCTATACCCTACCTATACCCCACCCTAGGTAAGGGGTACCCATCCGCCAGTCTACCTACAAGCTGGATGCCTGCTAACAGCATAACAAAGATTCTTTATTATTAGAAGCACATTAAATTTATACAGCAACTACAGCTTATAGACGTTCGCTCAAAGGTTTGCAAGATAGAGAATAACACCTAAGAGGTTTATCCTTATATTGCAAATTAACTACAGGATAAGGGGTTGTGTAACAATTAAGAGGAGAAGCAGATTATATGTTATTAGTGGTAGTCTAGTGCTGCTTCCTCTTGTTGTTAAACACCTCTTACCTTAGCTGTATCACGAACATGTCATCAAAACAGACCCCGCAGCGAGCTTTGGAGAGCAAAGATACAAGTAGAACAACAACACAGAACAATACAATACACTCGTTTATACATTTGCCCTTGATACCGCAACAATAGTACTATTGTAACTGCGTGAGCAGTGTCGGTCGGAGACTGTGATCAACTATTGTATTCCTATCTGTTGTCGTGTTGTGTGATGTCGTGATGTTCTGTTGTTTTCTTATAAAAGCTCTCAGCTCTCAGGTAAGTGCACTTGCTCACCGGGCAGTGCCTGCTACAATTGGATATCATGTGATCTGAGCCACGTGGTTACAACTATTCTTTCGTCGATAAAGAATTCTACACGGTCGCAGTTCATGACAACAGGACGTTTGTGCAATGTCTTGGACATCAACCGCCGTGGCAAAACAGGTCCTATTGTGGCGGCGTAATGTGGGGTTTTATGCATATCAACACTATTGCAGCGCGACATTTAACAAGAGAATTTAGCTGGAGCCTTCGGGATGTTAATGATGAAACAAGTGGGCGCGGGATGGGCATCGCCACCTGCCTCTGCAGTTCTCATGCATGCCCCGCGGCGCTTTCTAGATGCTCTCTTCGCAATTATACGCCGTACAACGGAACGGTCAGTGGCCCTGACACAAGGAGTGGCTGTAACTCGGAATATGAGAAGTCCCTCCCTTTCGAGAACCAGCGACATTGGAGACCAAGGCGGGGTCGCAGATCGTTGGGTGCACATACACTGCACACGGGCGAGATCGAAGTCCTCTTCAGAACGACAGGTGTGATCTTACTCCTTTGACGTTCAAGTTCATGTCGATATCAAGGGCCGCAGGTTGAAGATGAGTAGCTCCAGCCTCCAGAAATGTATCCGAAGAGCTGAACCAACGAGACCGACCAAAAAAATCTGCATTGTCACAAGATGGGACGACCTCATCTTCGTTGGTCGAAAGTTCCGGACACCGCCATCGAGCAGGCGGATATGGGCTCCGACAATTGGCACTGGTCACCAACCCTCATGAGTTCGAAAGTCCGAACAGCAGAGGAATCCGCCTCTCACGACTCTCTATGAAGTAAGGGAAGGAGTTGTGTACCTGATCCAGCTTGCTAGGTTCGAGTGTCGGTCGTATTTAGCCGCACGACGGCGTTTTTCCCTCGTGGGCATGCCCTCAGAAGGGCCGTCTCGTGCCTGTGACCGTTATGTGTGCCGATCAAAGGGGCTATCGGTCCTTCGTTCAGAAATATAAGAAGATTGGCCGACCTTGATAGCTCAGGACGCTACATCACAGCCTCTCATTCAAGGCTAACAATTGTATTCCTCATCCACTTCCTGGCTCCAGGCCAAACAAGAACAATTGTCACGTATCGCAACAAGATGCAGCCGCCATTGTATACGCACAGTCGATCCTCAAATCACAGAATCAGGCTCTACATGTTAGTCGCACACCGATCCACGCGAATCTTATCTCTACGCTGGGAGCAAACCATCGAAAGCCCATTGCGATTCTTATCCGTTCTTTGTAAGTGGACCACAACCGGTCCCAGTCGTTTGAAAGACGATATTTTTTTAAGATCATTGGGTCCATATTATTCCAGCCCCGCTTGTACGACATGAGATTGAAGACATTGCAGTCTTCCGTCACGACACCTGCGATTGCATCGAAGGCGATTCACGTATTATCAGATACTCGATATTAGATTCAAAACCAATCGGTAACACAACAAAGGAGAGCCCAAGGCTGGTGTTCTCGAGCAGCGCTCATTCCACAGACCCTGGAGCGTGCTTTTACAAGTGTCTCCCATAAAGACCAGAAGTAAGGCATGGACGGCACGCTATGCACAGCAATGTGCGCTACGGCTCACCGCCACTTCGATAGCATTGCATGCATTTACGTTCCACATGTAGGTGCTCAGACGCTACTCCTGCTTATGTCCGCCAATATGCTCGGATAGAGCAAGGTCTACCTTTCACCGTACCCGCCTGAAGACTCGCCACTGTTACTTGTCGGCCTCATTGATTTGACCCGGAATCACGTCAATTCTTATCTTGCCCGTAACACGAGAGATGTCGATACCTCGAGATGATAGGATTACCTCCGACATAACGGTCTGTAGGAACTTTTGCCCCCACTTTCGGTCCGCCCTTGCTTCCTCTCAGACTCGACCGCGCTGACTACTCTCATTGCATTGCATGTAGCTTATCGCTCTAGGGCTGATATAGTTGCTCATAATACTGCCGACATATGCTGTTTGGAGAAGTGCACCACAGTCTGTTTTTCGTGGATTGGCCCGAACGTTATTGACCACTGGACTGACTTTCGCTCTGCGATCCTGTCATGCAGTCAGACGTCGCGGGCCATATCTTACTGGCAAGCCGCCGTTCCAAGTCAGCCTTGCATGGTCGGTGCACCCCTTTAAGGTCTGAATTTCTGGCAGGACGACTCCATGCCACAGCTTTAGCGGCGTCCAATCTGCGCATCTGTGCGTTCTGAATTTGACAGACATAATTCATCCTTGCATTAGTATGCTATACCCACCTCTTTAACAGGGCGATGGACCATTAGTGTGGCTCATATCTCAGTAGTCTCATTCACAGCAGCCAGTCTCCGTTCTTGTAGTCTATCCGCCGGCACCGGATGTCGCATTACGCGACTCTAAGATAGGCTTCGGATCCGAAGGATTCTACTACCGCCTTATGTCTCGCACAAACCCTGACGTGGGTCTCAATTTGACAAACAGCTTGCTATCGGTATGCTGGGCAGCTCCCGAACAGACGGCTCCTTGTCCGACGAAGCTAGTTCTCAGCACTCTTCGCTACTATTCGACTTCTCGAAGAAGTACTCGATGCTGTGTATCCTCACATGCCCACCTCGAATCCGCCCTGGAGGACCTCATGCGATAGTATATAGCCCGGCTAGCCCAGCCTAGGATCAGTCATTATTAGAGCCTTTGCAACCAACATGACATACGAACACGTAGCCAGGGTGGCATTTCTCATTGATGCCTCGCATCTGACTCCTGAGGAAGTCGCCGAGCGAGCTGCAAACCCTGCCTTATGGGCTGCAAGACGATATGGACAGCCTGAGCACATCTTCAGGGCAGCCGGTAAGTCTTCTTTCGAAGACACACAGATGTTACTGAGTTTCTTAAGCAGAACGACATGAAAAGGAAACAGCCAAGCGTGAATGTGCAATACCGTTAAACTACGCCCCCTCGACCACCCCATTCTGCCCAGACACACCTCGCATTGCGCCACAAATCTCCGTGCCACAAGCATCACAAACACTACACTCGGCCTTGTCTGAGACCGTACGAGCGCTACCAGTCTCGGGTCGGTCACGTATTCCTGGGAACCCAGGTGTATCCTCACCATCTGAGTCGTACTTCTCCACCATTCTCTCGTCTTCAACCCCAGACGAAATAAGCTCGTCTCCATCTGAGCAATTAAGGACTCAAAGCAAGCAAGCCCTAGTAGGCGACCTACCACACGCTTCTGGGGGCTCTATGTCAGCTAAGAGCAAGGAGAAGATGCGTGCTTCAGCGGCCTAGAATGAAGTGGGCGAGTTGTCAGATGCTCTGCACGTTAGCAATAGGAGACACAGGAGACACAGGAGATCTGCCAACTGAAGGACGTGACCTATCCTCAACCATTACACTGCAGTTGTTATACTTACAGTGCTGAGACGGAATTGGGATAGAAGAGACTTGCAAGTGCAACTAGATAAGCCATGATGCCGTATGGCCATAAAGACAAGATCTCTTTTTGTTTCAAAATGTCAGGAATTTTCGGTGTTTAAATCATCTGCGCAGCCCCCCTCCCTCTTCCAGTCTTCAGTATCCTGCGTTCATTGTAGAACTCCCCGCCGCATCCATGAGGCCTTTGACTAAACTTACTTTGACTTTGAGCCGTTTACTTCGTCAGAGTTCGTGACCTCTGGTGCTCAGGTTTTCGTAGCTCACGAGCTTTTGGAGCTGATTAGTGTGTGGAACTCAAGACATAAGGACCCGAAGGGCTTAACGGGTAATCGAAGGTCAATTCGTCGGAGCGCGACGAAAAACGGCGCAAAGCTCTTGCATTTGTACACTGCTGCATGATAAGCACTTCCTTGCATGAAGATGAATACACTACTCAGGCCCGACGGCGCTCGATTACGGCATCCGTCCGATACGCATGTGCAGGCATGAAGGCTGCATTCAACGCCTTGTGGCAGCTACTTTATTGACTGCGCCTTGAGAATAATCACATCCTCGAGAGGCCTGTCCCCTCCGTCCGTTTGAACAGCCCCAATCCTCTCCACGACATCCATACCATCCACCACTTGTCCAAACACTGTATGCTTTCCATTCAAGTGCGGCGTAGCCGCCAGAGTAAGAAAGAACTGACTGCCGTTGGTTCCCGGTCCACTATTCGCCATACTCAGCACACCCGGACCCGCGTGCGAGAGCGAATCATTGAACTCGTCATCAAATTTGCCGCCCCAAATCGATTCACCGCCACGGCCAGTGCCGGTCGGATCACCGCCTTGAAGCATGAAGCCAGGGATCACGCGGTGGAAGACAACGTTGTTGTATTTGCCTGCTTCTGCGAGACCGGCAAAGTTCTGGCAAGTCTGTGGTCATGGTCAGTAGAATCCACTTTGAGGGAGTGTTTGCGCTCACCTTTGGCGCCTTTTCACTGTAAAGAGCTATGGTGATGTCGCCATAATTTGTCCTCATGAGTACGCCCGATGGCCTCTCCGGAATGGTGGCAGCGGCATTAATGGTCTGCGGCGCTCGAACAGAGGTCGTTGAAGACGAAGCTGCTCCTTCCTGAGTGTGGGTGAGCTCGGCGTGTGAGTCGGATGAGTCGTGCTTGAAGAGCTTTTTCAGTTTGTCCATACTTAATAGCGTATAACCGTACAGGATTCGCAATTATTGTTGTTGGGATGATTGAGAAGGTTGAAAACTATTTGTGATGAGGAGACGCGGAGGCTACGTCAATACGACGCTGATAGTTGACGACGTCATTCAGGGTAGGTACAGTAGTCAAATAGCCAGAACCTGAGCTCATTCGATGCTTGCGCATCTCGAATTTAACCAGCGGCGTGGGTAATAGCGCTGCCTCGTCGTGAACCTCTTTGCACGTCAAATGCGCAGGCTGCTGTATGTTTGTCGTAGTTTGCAAAATGAACAAGAGGCTCCGTGGTCGCAGGACCTCCGAGGTCCGGAGATTTGCACGATGACGCCCACTGGCATAGGTATGTATCCCTGGTCGATCCCCTACCTGCACTCGCCCCCGCTTCTCCGCCTCATATTGTACGCCCAGATTGATGACTTATTGGCTAAAGAGTTGGTAGTGGCTCCGGAAGCTTCTCTCACCCGCGCGCGTGACTGCTTTCTGCGATGTTGTACTGCTCCTTCCCACGTCCGTTAGCCCCTCCTCGTCCTCGCGGCTTCACCGCAACAGCACCTATCACCAGCATTAAATCCCAGCATGGCAAAAGTTTTATAGAGGTATCGCCGCGAGCCGAACATTACTTCATCTCTAGTGCCAGGCATCGCCGGAGGCAACTATGTAGATGCATCCGAAATACGAGGCACCGCATAGTTCGTCCGTCTGCCTTTACGCCACCCCAGGCTTGACGCGAAACACTGGTTTCACGGGGCACACCTGCCTTTCAGATCGCTAGCCGAGGTGGCGCTGACGCCGCTGAGGGCTCCCATGCAACTTAGCAGCTCATGGCCTCCTTGTTGCTCGGGACTTGAGCATGACCGTCCGCCCGACCGTCCGCCCTCGCGTCTACGAAAAGACCGAAAATGGTTTATGCGGCGCGGCGTTCTGGTTCTATCCTTCGCATCCGTCAATCCCAATTTAGTAACCTTTATAAACCATTCTCAGCCGAAGCCATTTCCATCATCAGTCCGGCTATCTAGGGGTCCATTATTTACAGACGATGGGAAGCCGCGGAAGAATTTTGATCTTGGACGTACCTGCTTCCTCCACCCTCACCAGCGCCATTCATCATGGAGAAACTCGAACGCTTCCTTTCGCGGCCAACTGCCAAGCCATACAAGACTAGCGACCTCGAAGCCTCTGAGGAGATTCACCTCAACAGGGACGGGCTCCTGGAATTCAGCCCTGACGACATCGAGAACCCTATAAATTGGTCGACCACCCGACGATGGTACATCACCTGTATAGCTATCATCCTCGTCCTGAATGCCACCTTCGCGTCGTCCAGCCCATCTGGCGCGCTGGGTTCCATCGCAAATGATCTACATGTCTCGACCGAAGCTGGCGCGCTTGTTATCACCTTGTTCCTTCTGGGATACTGCGCCGGTCCATTAGTATTTGCGCCGCTGTCAGAGTTTTTCGGTCGCAGATATGTCTTCTACGTCACGTTTACTCTGTACCTGACATTCAACTTCCTCTGCGCTTTCGCGCCCAACTTCGGTGCGCTACTTGTGGGGCGGTTCTTCGCAGGCATATTCGCTAGTGCGCCACTCTCCAACGCGGGTGGTGTGCTCGCTGACATCTGGGGTCCTTTGGAACGAGGCAATGCCATGGCTGTCTTTTCTATGGTAACATTCATCGGACCGGCACTTGGACCCGTCATATCAGGCTTTCTGGAGCTGAAGAAGAACTGGAGGTGGTCCTTCTATGTTCTCCTCTGGATGGGTGGCATCACCGAGCTGTTGATGTTCACGCTCCCGGAGACACTGCCCGCAATTGTGCTCCGCAACAAAGCAAAGCGCCTCAGAGCCTTGAAGATTCCGGGGTACGAGAACGTTAGGGCGCCAGTCGAGGTCACAGACAGGACTCTCCAGTCTCTGTTCCGCGCCGCGCTCATTCGACCTTGGAAAATCCTCATCGACCCCATCGCGTTCGCCGTCGCCATATATCTCACAGTCGTATACGCGCTACTTTATATGCTTTTCACCATCTATCCTATCGTCTTTCAAGAGCGGCGAGGCTGGAACTCCGGCGTGGGCGAGCTGCCGCTGTTGGGGACCGCCATCGGTGCCGTCATCGGCGGAAGCATCATCTTCGCAAATACAGCCAGAGAGAGGAAAAAAGTGGAGTCAGGCTACAAGCTTGTTCCCGAAGACCGACTTCCTGTCGCCATGATCGGAGGCATCGTATTTCCCATCACCATGTTCTGGTTCGCTTGGTCTGGAGAGTACAACAGCGTCCACTGGATCGTCCCCACTTTGGCCGGCGTCTTCCTTGCGACTTCTATCCTGCTAGTGTTCGTTGCGTATCTTAATTATCTAACAGACGCTTACATCGGTTTTGCCGCGAGCGCATTAGCAGGAAATACTGTTGTGCGCTCAGCCGCTGGAGCCGCTGCGCCCTTGTTCACCCCGTACATGTTTAAGGCCTTGGGCGTTGGCGGTGGTGGCTCTCTCATCGGCGGACTGGCCTGCCTGCTTGCGCCCATCCCTTTCATCTTTTACAAATATGGTGGGCCGATTAGGGAGCGTTCTAAGTTCGCGCGGGAACCAAATAGAGATTCTGAGCCGATTACGTCTGAGCCGATCGCATCTGAGCTGAGTGTCTTGGACAGGAGCGATGACTCGGATCGTAAGAGCGAGACCTGATGGAAGTGTGCTTACGCCCGCCCGTTGAGACTCAAGGCGCGACAGGCACAGGCGGTTTCATTGCGACAACGCGTCAGAACTACTGCTTTTATAGACATTTAACGTACTTCACGGGTGAGCTGATCTTTTACTAGGGAAAATCAATAATCTACGGCTCTATCTCTAGATCTACCAAATGGAATCTTCACAAAATTTAAAAACTTAGCTACACCTAACGTACCTCACGTGCGAGCCAATCACACGGGCGAGCCAATCACTCTGCCAAGACCACATCAATCTGCCATCTTATTATAGCCTGCATTAGCCCGCGTTAGCCTTGTATTCAGTAGTATATCAAATCTTACAGGCGAGCCGATCACTCGGCCAAGACCACACCTCTCTACCACCCTATTATAGCCTATATTAGCTTATGTTAGCCTTATATTTAGTAGTAACGTAGATTATCACCGAGCCGGCCATATCACTGAACTAGCCATTTTCTCTTAGCACAACTAACACAAGTTACTGCAACTACAACTACTTGCTATTAAATAGTAACCTAGCATACTATGTACTTGTATTAGATTTAGAAGATGTTTCTGTACCCTCCTAGCACGTTTGTGCGTTGTGTCTAGTCTTACTACAGTTCCTACAGCGCTGAACAGTTGACTAAGCTCCTAGTTGACTACCTCCACCCTAAGTCTTCTTAGATGGCTGAGCTACTACACACGCCTCAGCAGCTACCCGCGATGCTGCTAGGCCATACTTAAGTGTGCCACTATGCTAAATCTGCTTTCTCTTACGCGCTTTTCTCTTAGTTATTACTACTAATTACTCTTTAAGCTCTTGCATATAGGCCTTAATAAGGATGTTTTTATATAGCATCTCTTTAGCCCCTTTTATAAGCTTTAAGAACCCCTCTTGCGCTATACTTAGTAATTATTAGAAGGAGTTACTTATAAGCTTAGATTAAGACCTAAACTTGTGTGTATTACTTAGTGTCTTAGATTACTATAGTGTTTTAGGTAGAGGTACTGCTAGTAGGGTATACAGCTGCACTTTAAGGTAATCTAATACTACCTGTATATTAGTAAAAATAAGCCCTAATACCTTAAAGGCCTTTTAGTAGTTAACCTTTATAAATATATTAAGGAATATATCCCTAAAGGCTAGTAGGAAGCCTTCCTTATTAATATAGAAGATATGTTAGCATGCTAAGTCTTAAATATATTAGGAGTACTTACGCTTTAATAGTAAGAAATAGACTATATTAGGTAGCTAGAGGATATGTAATAAGTATAGTAGTATATAGAGAGTAAAGATTTAGTTCTCTAGGTAATAGTCCTTAAACTCCTAGTTAAGATAGCTCTTATAGCTGTCTAAGATAAGCAACCTGTACACTCCTACCTAACACGTCTTTATATACATGTTAAAGTGCTTTAACTACTTAAGGCTAAGTATATTATTTGTCTAACTATTCTTAGAGACTAAGAGCTTCTAATTATAGGGTATATCTGTCTCCTTATACTAGGCAGAGATATAGACGCGTCCTTTGTAGATAATGAAAGGTGGGGTTGCATACCTAGCGGCGCAGGTGCTCTGGATAACGGTAACCCACTCGCGATCACCTAGCTGAACAAGCTCTAGCTAAGCACGTCTCTCTAAGCCTGTTACAACCTTTAAAGACAAAGCAACGCCTATCTAGAACCTAGTTTTATTAAAGTTGTGTATGTTGTTGTTGCAAACACTATACTTAACTTAAGTATCCTCTACTAGCTTAAACTACGCGCTAATTATCTTAGCATCTTCCTATAGTATCCTCTGTCTATCCTTAGCTTAATTAAAGGCTATTTTAAGCTTGTCTAAACACGTCACAAGCCTGCTAGCCTATAGTTTACTAATAGGCTCTTCACTACGCACACTAAGTATCTTATTAGCTATATCTGCCACCTTACATAGCTAGGGCACAAATCCTTGCGAATTAAGGTTAAGTATATACTAGACAATTGTCTGCTCCTCTAGTATAGTAAGTTTCTAGCAATTAGCACGTATGTCTAGTTAAAACGTGATATTGCAAAGGCAATTAGAGACCTGCTAATAAGGTACGTTCAACACTCTAGCAGCACTGTAGATACTACGAAATTGGCTAGCATAGAAGGCCTAGATAGTAAGGATAACTCTGCCTTCTTAAGTAGTATTCTAAAGTTATTGTTGTTAAGGTATGTTATGTTAGGGTAAAAGGTGGTTATGCTAAGAGAAAGTGTCCAGTTTAGTGATATGGCTGGCTCGGTGATAATCTACGTTAGTTAAAACATAATATTGCAAAGGTAATTAGAGACCTACTAATAAGGTATGTTTAACGCTCTAGCAGCACTGTAGATACTGCAAAATTAGCTAACATAGAAGGCCTAGATAGTAAGGATAACTCTGCCTTCTCTAGTAGTATACTAAAGTTGTTATTATTAAGGCATATTGTGTTAGGGTAAAAGGTAGTTGTGCTAAGAGAAAGTGGCTGGTTTAGTGATATGGCTAGCTTGGTGATAATCTACGTTATAACTTAGCACTTTATACAGTGTCTTTAGGTTGTCTTACCTCCTTTAACATGCACCTGCTCCCTTACCTTTTTACTATTACTACACGCCCTAAAATCTGTTATAGTAGTGAACTATTAGCCTTCCTCTACTATTAGATCTCCTTCCTGTCGTAACTGCTCTCTTGTATGCAGTTTATGTTGTTATGCAGCTTTATTTGCTGCTTAAAGCTTATCATTCGCCTTCTAGACTAACTGTTGCGGTACAAGGGCAAATGTACGAGTGTATTTTTGTTGTTGTGTGTTGTTGTTCTAATTGTATCTTTCGCTCTCCCAGGCTCGCTGAGGGGTCTGTTTTGATGACGTGTTTGTGATGCAGCTGAGGTAAGAGGTGCTCAACAACATGAGGAAGTAGCACCAGACCACTGTAACGACGCAGGCAAGAAGAGAGATATCCGGAATATGTGTGAATCCGCTACAAGGCATATAGCAGTGCTAGGATGATAAGAACACTAGGATATATTCTCTATACCTAACGTAAACCCCCAGCACCCGGGCCAACCCAGCACCCGGGCCAAAAAAGCTTGGCAGTACCAACTCACGTTACAACTCTTTAATTTCATTGCTATTTAACATAGAGCCTGCGTACGCTGTGCTTGTATCTAATTTAGAATATGCCTCTATATCTTTTTTGCACGTTCGCGTGTTATGTCTAGTCCCTCCACAGTTTCCACAGCGCTGTAGAGCTGGTTAAGCTTGTTCTTAATCACTACCACCACAAGCCTTCTTTGACCGCTCAGCGGCTACAGAGGCCTCTGCGGCCACCTGAGCTGCTGCCTTACCATACTCTATAGTACTACCTTGCTAGATCTGCTTCCTTTTGCGCGATTTCTGCTTAGTTATTACTGCTAATTACTCTTTAAGCTTAGTAATCTGGGCTGCTTAAAGCGCGTTCTGATGCAGCATAAGCTCGCCACCTCTAACAAGCTAAGAGAAGCCTGCTTGCACAGTAATAGGTGACTAAGTAAAAGACTCGCGTACAAGCTTTAACTAAGATCTAAACTTGTAGGTATTGCTTAGAGTCTTTAACTACTACAGCGTCTCTAGGAGGAGGGGTTCTAGTAGGGTACACAGGCGCACTTTAAGGTAGACTGGCGGATGGGTACCATGTACCTAGGGTAGGGTATAGGTAGGGTATAGGTCGCACGGACGTAGGTATAGGTAGGGTAGGGTCGCACGGACCATAGGTATAGGTAGGGTAGGGTTGCACGGACTATAGGTAGGGTAGGGTAGCACGTGACTGGGTATAGGTATAGGTAGGGTAGCACGTGCTAGGTATAGGTTTGGTTTGGGTATATTACTAACCTAGTTTGTATACAACTAACCCTAGGTTGTACTAGTAGATTCTTTCGCATACACAATACTTAGAAGAAAAAGCATCTATAATTTAT